GCTGGTGCTGGGATCAGGGCAGCCAGCTGCTCTCTGAGCTGTAGGGCGGGGGGGAGTCGATCCCCAAGACCAGTCTGGGGATGGGAACGGTCTGGGGCCTTGTAGGGGTCGCACGCCCCTCCCTGGGCGGGAAGCGTGGGGGGGCCCAACCCACCGAGGGGTCGCCCATGCCATGTCCCTGCGGGGCACCTTTGGCAGCTCGCAAAGACCAGTCCGTCCCACCTGCTCGGGGGCTATGCTGGCCGGTTCCCAGCCGTGTATTCCCTGCCTCGGGCTCAGCCATTCCCCGGGGCCTGCTGTGCCTCCCTCCCGTGGGCAAGAACAACAGAACAGGGCACGTGCCAGCTCTGCTGTGCACGGGGAGTGTAAATCTTCAGTGTGGCCCAGTGGCCATGCCCCTGGCCCGGCTGCAGCCTTCTGCTCTGGGGGACTTGGTGCCCTGCCAGCGTGGTGTGATACGGGGCTGGTTTTGCTTGGCACTTGTGCACAGAGTGCTGTGTTGAACTGCCCGGTTGCCTCTTCCAGCATGGCCCTGTGGAAAGAGACCTGGGTTCTCTTCCTGGCTGCGGTGACTAACTGGTCCCTCTGTGCCTCAGTTTCCCCATTGGCCAAGTAGGGACGGCCATCGCGGCCTCCTTGGTAAAGCACAGTGGTTGAGAAGTGCTGCATAAGAACCAGGGCTTGTTAGATGATTCTCCTCACATCTGGTCCTTGGAACAGGCACTTTCAACGTAGGTGGCGGCCAGGCTGGCTGCAGAGTAGCTCCTTGGTGGGGTGAAGTTTCTTAGGCACAGGAGCCCACTCTGTGCTGGGGGAGTCCAGTTCCAAGCCCCTCTGTAGCTTGTGACCTCGTTTCTCTGCTCCCCCAGGCAAGCCGGAGGCCAAAGCCACGGACAAGAGCAAGCTGGCGGTGAAGAACGCGGGCCTGCAGCGCTCTTCCTCCGATGCTGGCCGGGGAGTAGCTCCTTGGTGGGGTGAAGTTTCTTAGGCACAGGAGCCCACTCTGTGCTGGGGGAGTCCAGTTCCAAGCCCCTCTGTAGCTTGTGACCTCGTTTCTCTGCTCCCCCAGGCAAGCCGGAGGCCAAAGCCACGGACAAGAGCAAGCTGGCGGTGAAGAACGCGGGCCTGCAGCGCTCTTCCTCCGATGCTGGCCGGGATCGGCTCGGGGATGCCAAGAAGCCTCCCTCGGGGCTCACCCGGCCCTCCACCTCCGGCTCCTTCGGCTACAAAAACTCAGCTACTGTGATGCAGGCAGGCGGCTCGGCCACGCTCGGCAAGATCCAGAAGAGCTCCGGCATCCCCGTCAAACCCATCAATGGGAGGAAAACCAGCCTGGACGTCTCCAACGCCGGCGAGCCCGGCTTCCTGGCCCCCGGGGCTCGCTCCAACATCCAGTACCGGAGGGGGGGGGGGGGGGGGCGTGGGGGGACCCGGCCGGTGAGCAGCAGCATCGACCCCAGCCTCCTGAGCACCAAGCAAGGGGGCATCTCGGTGTCCCGGCTCAAGGAGCCTTCCAAGATCGGCGCGAGCCGGAGCACGCCTGCCCCGGTGAACCAGACGGACCGAGAGAAGGAGAAAGCCAAAGCCAAGGCCGTGGCCCTGGACTCCGAGTGCGTCTCGCTGAAGAGCATCGGCTCCCCCGAAAGCACCCCCAAGGCCCAAGCCAGCCACCCGCCTCCTGCCAAAGTGGCCGAGCTGCCCCCTACGCCACTCAGGTAGGAGCCCAGGAAATCTCACTTCTGCAGGGCTCTTCCCTCTGGGCTTTTTCAGACGTTTTCCATTTAAACTGGCTTCCCGTGCAAACCCTGTACAGTTCAATATTTGCCACAAGGCCTCTTGGAAGTTGTAGTTCAGTCATCTCCTGTCCCCATTCTTGCGTATGGGCTGGGTGCCCCAGCTGGACTCCAACTCCCATGATGCATTGTGACCAGGGTCTCCCATGAGGCATATGTCTTCTCTCTCTCCAAGAGGTGAGACTGAAGTGCATCATGGGATATGTAGTCCAACCTGGGAGTCTCAAATCATGGAGAATGGGAATACGCAGCAAACTACCACTCCCATGAGGCACTGGGGCAATCTTTCCAAGTAAAATATTCTTGGCTTTCCGCTGAGATTTGTCCGCATTCAAAATTGCGGCTGGAAAATGGAAGTTTCTTGGGGGGAGACTTTTTCACCAGTTCAACCTGCCCCGCCCTGCTCTTCCCTTCTGGGTATGTGACAAAAGGACCTGACACCCAACGGGTCAGATCCCCAGGCTCGGCCAGGGGCACTGACCCCATGGTGCTTGGCGCAGTTTGCTATTGGCTGATCCCAGCTGCCTGGCCCTAACCAGCAGCCCTACAGAAACACCCAGCGCACGCAGCCTGGGGCCGGTGAGCGCCCACGGGAGTGGGGGTGAAACTGGAGAAATCTCTAACGTCAGGGCAAGGCGAGTGCCTTGTTTTAATCCCTCTCCCTGAGGGTCGGTCAGGTCTCAGCTGTAGGGCTGGGCCCCCACACTGCCAGTGCAGGGGGGGAGCCCCCGGGGGCGGGGGAAGGCCCTGTCAGGCAGCCAGATGAATAGCTGAGCTTCCTCCCCTCTGCGGGCTCAGCCTCTCTCGGTTCTATGCTCCCACAGGGCGCCTGCCAAGAGCTACGTGAAGCCCCCTTCCCTGGCCAATTTGGACAAGGTCAACTCCAACAGCCTGGACCTGCCCTCCGCCAGCGAGCTGCCCCCGCCCCACGCCAGCAAGCGGCAGGACCTGCACGTGGGCACCGGGCACCTCCCGCCCTGCTTCACCCCCAGCCCTGCCCCCATCCTCAACATCAACTCCGCCAGCTTCTCCCAGGGCCTGGAGCTCATGAGCGGGTTCAGCGTCCCCAAGGAGGGCAGGATGTACCCCAAGCTCTCAGGCCTGCACCGCAGCATGGAGTCCCTGCAGATGCCAATCAGCGGCAGGACCTGCACGTGGGCACCGGGCACCTCCCGCCCTGCTTCACCCCCAGCCCTGCCCCCATCCTCAACATCAACTCCGCCAGCTTCTCCCAGGGCCTGGAGCTCATGAGCGGGTTCAGCGTCCCCAAGGAGGGCAGGATGTACCCCAAGCTCTCAGGCCTGCACCGCAGCATGGAGTCCCTGCAGATGCCAATCAGCCTGCCCAGTGCCTTTCCTGGGGGCAGCACCACCGCCCCTGCCCCCGACGCCGCCCCTCCTGTCGGCAGAGAGGAGGAGACCAACGAGCCAGGCTGGACCGGCAGCCCCAGAACCGCACATCTGGACAGGTGCCGCCGGAGGAGGGGGGCACGTGGGCAGGAACCGGGGCCTGGCTATCTGGGGATGGGTTTCCAGAGCCTCCTGGCTATATTGGGGGTCACAGAACCCCAGTCCCCATCACCCTGCCCTTGGGGCACCTGGCAGCCTTGGTGTGGGCAGCTTTGTGAGGTCAGAGTCCCCTCCGCCCCCTGGGGAAGCTGGTTCCAGTCCTGCCCCCCGCTTTGGTACATGCTTCCAGGGAAGCCAGCAGCCCGGCCTGCCCCCCGGCTGGGCATTGCCCCACACCCATCCCGGCAACTCCCCCTCCCCCGCCCCCAGCCAACCGTGACTCGTGTGTCTCTCCGTCCCCAGCACCAGCCGCGACCGGAACACGCTGCCCAAGAAGGGGCTGAGGTAAGTGCCCCGGCCGTCCCTGAGGGGCCTCCCAGCCACGGGCAGCAGGGTACTAGGCCTCCATTAGCGCTGGGGGCCTGTGGCCACGGGAGGCTAAGGGACTTGCCCAAGGCCCCTATGACACTTCAGGGAACTGACCCTGGGTTTCCTAGACTAGTGCTAGGCCTGCCCCTTGCCCTGTAAGCCCCACTGCCCAGAGCCCCTGGGAGCAAGGGCAGAATATTGCCCTCTGAGCAGGCAGGGCCTTCGGGAATTCCGCTGCCACGTGGAACCACCGCCCTTGTGTGGCCTCCGTGGGCTGGTGTGCTGTGGGGGGGGGTGGGGGGGTGATCTTGCTACCCCACCCCCTTGGAACGCGGGATACTGCAGAGACAGGCAACCCCCCCCATTGGGTTTGTCACAGCCTTGCGGAGCAAGAGGGGGACCCAGCCCCAGTGGGCGCCAGGCTCTATCTGGGGACCCAGTTACCCGGTCTGGCCCCGTGTCACCTCGTGGCTTTGCCTTGGCGGGAGCAATGGCCCTTTGGCACTTGCCCTGGCTGGGGCCAGCGGGCGAGAGGTGCCACCGTGCCGATCTCTCCCTCGCCCTGGCAGGTACCAGCTCCAGTCCCAAGAGGAGACCAAGGAGCGGCGACACTCCCACACGATCGGCGGGCTCCCGGAGTCGGACGACCCCTCGGAGCTGCCCTCCCCTGCTGCCCTCTCCGTGGCCTTGGCCGGGAAAGGCCCGCTTACCAATATCGGTCAGTTTCCCGTGGCCGCCTTGGGGCCACACCCCCTGTGGGTGTAAATCGGCGCATGGAAAGCTGAGTCCCTGGCGCTCTGCCCGTCTGCAGCGCCCGAGGGGCACAGCCTGGCCTGTGTGCCCCCAGCGAGCGGAGCTGGCTTGGCCCATGGAGACGAGGGGCAGGGAACACCCGCCAAGTGCCGGCCCCCGCCCCTCCGGC